CTAAACCCTAAAGCCTAAACCCACCAGCCCGAAACCCAAAGCTCCGAAACCAAAAGCCGAACCTACGCAGCGGCTCTGAGACGGCTCAAATCCCAGAAACGGGGGGAGTTTCGGAAAGTAAGTGGCCCGAACAAAGACACTCCACACTGGGTTGCCGCATCCTCAGCTGACAAGGGAAACCCGCTGTTCTGCTGCAGGGCACGGGGTGTAGGGCTCCGTCCACCACCACCACCACCACCACCATCATCATCATCATCATCATCATCATCATCATCATCAATCATCATCCCCGCTGTCATATCCTGAACGTGTCACTTCAAAACTCGGAACCAAGACCGCTTCCATAATTCCCAATCCAGATAGCCCCGCATATCTCGGCTGGCAAAACACCCCTGCTAATGTAGGGCCAGGGCTGTGGCTCATGGTGTTTCTTATGGTTTTCCAAGAATTTGGGGTTTAGGGTTTAGGGTTTAGGGTTTAGGGTTTAGGGTTTAGGGTTTAGGTCACAGCTTATGGGATATGTTGAAGCATCCCTAGAAGAATGGACACTAGGGACTGATATTAGCAAGTATTCATGCTTCTACATTACCCGGCACCTGCAAGGTACCATTTCTGTGGCCATCGAGCCCGGGATACAAAGGCTTAGGGACTTCATAACTGCAATCTAATTGGGAGGATCCCTAAAACCTAAGCCCTCAACCCCCCTAAACCCTAAACACTAAACCCTAAACCCTAATAAGTGGGGATCACTATGTGACACTTGCAGAAGTCAGCCACCTGCTCGCAGAGACAGTAGAGAAGAAAGGGCACGTCATGGTGCGAGGAGTCCACCGCCGCAACCATGCGATCGTACCTTGGCTTTTGTTCCAACCCCCTGACCTAGGGGCCTCTGGGTCCCAACACTTAAAAGAAGGCTTTGGGGGTGTAGTGTAGTATAATACTAGAATTATAAACAGCAGCCCTAAGGGATGAGTGTCGAAATTATTCAGATCCCACTCGATTACCTCCGTAAGAATCCGAAAAAAACGCTCAAGAACGTTCCAAGAGCACAAAACCCCAAAAACCCTGAAACCCTACACCCCCTAAAGCCCTAAAACCCCAAAGAGCCAAGGTACAGGTCGGTCGGCACAGGCGGCTTGTCATGCTCCTTTCGGTGGAGGAAAAGCCGGCCGTTCTACAGGAGAACTTTCGTTTCAGCTGCGTAATCCAAGGGTTCCGAATGACAGCTGTGTCAACAGGAACTACACTCACAATTCTGAGGACCAGAATTCAGAGGCTTCGGCTGTGCTGCTAATTATTGCCTGGGTCTTGCGTAAGTAGGGGGCAGGCCTAAGCCTAAGCCCAAAAAATAGAACCGTTACCTTAAACCACAAACCCTAAAACACCACCCTAAGCCCTAAAACAAAACCCTAAACCCTAAACCCTAAATTGAACCCTGAACCCTGAACCCTGAACCCTGAACCCTGAACCCTGATCCGATAGGTTTGATAGCGAATGCGCGACAAACCTCGAGACGTTGTGAATTGCAGCTGCACTTCAAGCAAAGAAGCAACCTTGAGTATAGATGGGGACCTTATAATATTTAGAAAATTTTTTGGGAGGTATACTATACTACCACTACATAAGGACGATGGGGGAATAATAGTACTCTTTGGTTTTTGGGGTTGCAAGCTGTTCCGAATTTCCTGGCTGGGAAGTTTCGCAGCTTCATTTGATAGGAAACAAATCCTTTCAAGGGGCCTTTGCAACTCCTCTGCTACCTCATTGCGATTCCATATCCCGCCAAGATCCCTATATATGGTTACTGTAAGGGTTTTGGTTGTAGCTTTTGAAGTTTGGGGCGCTCTCTAAATCCTCCCGCCCCCCTCCCTGCCCCCATTGCCTCCTCTCTCGCAGGTAGGTCGGGGATGCAGATCCGCTGCGCTGGGAGGGCAGTACACCAGTCCTTGTAGGCGGCCTCGACAGGGACGCAGGTGTGGATTCGGGGCTTCTGGTTGGGGGCGTAAGGTCGATGGTTTGGGATTAAGCGTTTAGGATTTTAGGGTTTTCGGTTTGGGACTTAGGGTTTAGGGTTTAGGGTTTAGGTTTTTAGGGCTTAGGCTTATGGGTTTAGGGTTTAGTATTAGGGTTTGGGACTTAGGCTTAAGGTTTTGGGCATGAGGGGTTTGGGTCTTGAAGGCTTCTGGCTCAGGGTGCAGCGTCTTGGGCGGGTGCTACCTGGCCGATCCATGCCACGGGCACGGAGGCGTGAGCTGGAACAAGCTTGTGGGGACGGTGGGCCGGTATAAATCCGGATGTGATTCATGAATGTAGGGGCCTGAATTATCAGAATAGGGTTTGGGTTTTATGTTTGTTGGGCCTCACTCATGAGAATAGGGTTTGGAGGAATCTTTTCAAAAGTGCATGTACTTAGGGATTACAAGCGTGATGCGGTTCCTGATGATTCGCCGTGGTTGCAATCTGGGTAAGTTACGATAAGAAGGAAACCGTACTACTATAGATCCCGATTATGGCAACTCAAATCAAACTCCTTACTGAGAACGCTAAACCCCTCAACACTAAACCCCTAACCCCTAAACCCTAAACCCAAAACCCAGTAATACTGCCCTGCAAACCTGAAACCTCAAGCCCTGCAACCTCTGCCCTGAAAACCGTGAAACTCGGAACTTTTAGGGTTCCAGGGGCTTGGGCTTAGGGCGTTTAGGCTTTAGGGCTTAGGGCTTAAACCCTAAGCCTAAACCCTAAACCCTAAACCCTAAAACCTAAACCCTAAACCCGGATTTGGAGGTGTTCCGAGTTGGGGTTCAGGGCGCTTTAAAGCCCTGAACTGCGCACCGCAACACCTGGAGCCCTTCAACCCTGGATCTTTCCGAAAGCCTGAAGCCCTCGTTTTGGGGCCTCGTAATTAGAATAGGGTTCCTTTAAAGGGATCCTTAGAGGGTGCTATAAGGGATCTATGATAGGGTTCTATATTAGGGGCCTTAGTAATTAGAATAGGGTTTTGGGTTATATTCTGCTATAAGTATGTCCTGACTCCGGAGCCCGAAATGCCCACAGCCAAGGTTTCGAACCGGCTTAGGGTTCAAGTTATATCGGCCTGTTTAGCATGCAGGTCTGCGATGAACCTGAGGGTTTCGAAGCCAGGTTTGATCTTTAGGATTTGCGGTCTAGGAATATGAGTTCAGGATTTCGATTCTTAAGCCGTATTTAACTATACGCCCAAACCCCAAAACTTACGGTTATAAGGCGCAGGACTTTGGACTTGGGGATGTGTTCTGGGTGCGCGGCGTTTTGCACTGAGGCTCCCGAAGCGGAGCAAAAGAAAGCCACCCCTCGCCCCCTTAATGTTGTTATCATTGTTATTATTTTTTTCATCGTTGGTCCTGTTTTTAGTACCATTACTATTATAAATATCATTATTATTGTTACTATTGTTAATACACACACACACACACAGACAAACCCGCCTTCTGCTGTGCCACGTTTCCCAAGGCCTCGAGGATCGCGGCTCGAGCTTGACCCGCGAAGTCAGGCGCCTCCTCCTTTCCAATGGGCGCCATCGGTAGTTTACGAGCCGGTTTAGGGTTTAGGGTTTAGGGTTTAGGGTTTAGGGCTAATGATGTCGTCGTCGTAGCAGGGACCACGAGAAACAGGAGATACTGCGGCTACAGGCTTCCGGGGTTTGTAAATGTGTGAAAGGTTAGCTGAAAGACCCAAGCTCAGGTGTTAGGGTTTGGGGTTCTGGGTTTAGGGTTTAGGCTTTAGGGTTTAGGGTTTAGGGCTGGGAGACAGTTTGACAGAGGCTTGAAGCGAGAGTTCCTCACCAAGCCCGCGAGCCTAAACCTACGTCATAAAGATAAACCCTGAGCCATGAAATAAACCCCAGCCACGAAGACTCTGGGCCCATAAAGGCTGAGACTGAGACTCTAACTTGTAGAACCCTCCACTTATAGAACCCTCATAAGACTCCCCCCCAGCCACAGCTCTTTTCAACAACCCTTAAAGAAACAGAAAGCCATGAAAGAAAACCTTATCGAAACCTTAAAGGGAACCCTTACGAAGCTCTTTACAAGCCCCTGTGGCGGCTACCCTAAACCGTCAACCCTAAACCCTAAACCCTAAACCCTACGTAAGCCCTAAACCCTAATCCCTAAACCCTAAGCCCTAAACCCTCAGCCCTAAACCCTAAGCCCTCAACCCTAAACCCCATGCCTGTTCGCTGGGCTGCGCCCAGAGGTGGCAGTTCGGGACTTCCGTGACCGCAGCGGATAAGAAGGGGCTGTCATCCTCCAGGGCCCTAAGCCCTAAACCCTAAAGGGTTTAGGGTTTAGGGTTTAGGGCTTAGGGGCTAAAGGGTTTAGGGTTTAGGGGCTAAACCCCATAGCGTTTAGGGTTTAGGGTTTAAGGGGCCCTAAACCCTATAGGGTTTAGGGTTTAGGGTATGGGCTGAACCCTGCGGGGTTTAGGGTTTCGGGTTTAAGGGGCCCTGAACCCTATAGGGCTTAGGGTTTAGGGCTTAAGGGGCCCTGAACCCTATAGGGTTTAGGATTTAGGGCTTAGGGGGCTAAACCCTAAACTGTAGGAGCTTTCAGGTTTAGGGCTTTCAGGGTGTTGAAGAACTTCGGGCTTCGGGGATTGAGGGTTTAGGGGTTTCCGGTTCGGCGTTTTGCGGTTTCGGGCTTAGGACCTTTACAGGAGCTACAGGTTCAGGGTTTTGGGGCCCAATCAGGGTTTAGGGTCTTGGTTTTTGGGGTTCGCAGATGCGGCCGGGAGCCAGGAATCACTGATCCCGAAACTTGGGCGTAACCTGCTCGCCAAAGGTAAACAAGACCCACAAGTAGAACCTAGAACCACAACCTTTAACCCCGACAGTCGGGGTTGGGGGTTTTGGGTTTAGGGAGCACCGAAACCCCAAACACTGGCCTGCCCTCTGCCACAATGGCCCACCTACAGTAGAAAGCCCCGCGCCCGGAACCGGGCGAAACCCAACTAGACCAGCAGGCTTAGGGTTCAGGGCCAAGTTTAAGGTGGGTAGGGGTTAAACCCCCCAACCCCACCGCCCGGCATTCAGCCCGGACCTCCCCCAGAGCCTAAGCCCTGAAGCCCTAGGCCAACGCAAGAAACCCTAAGCCGAAAAGGCCCAAAACCCAAAGTCCTTAAACCAGAAAACCCAAACCCAGAACCCTAAACCCTAAACCTTCAACCCTAAATCCCAAACCCAACCCCTAATCCCTCTCACCTCGGCGCCAAGGATGCGGTTTCGCAGCTCCTGCAGAATTTCCGGAGCCCCCATCCTGGGCTGCACAGGGAAGCATCTTTAAGCTAAACATGAGCACCTGAATGCTAAGATTGCATAAGGGTTTTATGTGGGGGATTGTGAATCGTTTCCAACATTATTACTTAGGGTTCCTCCATGTCATTATGTTAGAGTGAGCCCCGAACACCATGCTGATTAGTGAAGCCCCTTATACCATACTGTAGACTTACTTCAGAAGGGTAGATACGGTCGAGGCTAGAAAGCGGGTCCGGAAAATTCGAAAACCTTTCTTGCAGCCAGAACTTATAGGCTTTAAGGTTTAGGGCCCAGGGTTCAGGGATTCGCAAGAACTTGGAGAGCTTTAAGAAACGATTCTAAAATCAGCCCACGCTGCGTCCGCGTAATTCGCCAGGTGCCGCCAGTGTCATCCGGCTCGTCTGCTTTGCTCTCTCCTGCTCAAGGCACTTGAGGGCTTCAGGCTCTCAGAGTCTCGGGTTTAGAGTATAAGGGAGGGATCAAACC